GCAGCATATACTGCATTTACATATTTCTGCTAATTATCTGTACTATTTCCAGATGATGACATGACAAAGTTACAACTTGTTTTTTTATAGGAAAAAGTGATGGCTGAAATAAATTAAAGAATACATAACATTTCCCTGACTTACTTTAGATTTGTGTCTCATTGAGCAAAGTTTTCCCTTAAATATGTATTGTTTTACAATAACACTATAGCTTTATACAACAATATAGTGGTTATCGTGCAAAAATGCAACAGTTTTATTAACCTTTTGGTGTCGAGGATCAACATTAGATTGTATCTGCAAGCTGCAGGATGTTTTGTAAAACACATCAGGAAATAAGGAGCAAAAAACATGGCTCGAGTGTCAGAGAATTTTATCTTCAACAAACGATGATGAAGTGGATTGGAAGGCAGTGACATGATGTTGTTGGCAGGAAAAGGAACAATAATTTTGCACTGTATTTTCAGTTCATTATCTGTCAAGTTTCCTGGGCTTTTTGTGTATATTCCCCACTTGAAAGGGATGAGCCGTCTACTGGACTTTGGGAACAGGATTTCACTCCAGTGACACAGCTTCTTTTCAATACTTTGTATTTGTATTTAGAAGTTCACTTTATGAAGCACTTTATGCAGCTTTAAGCAGGTGAAAAACCTTTGAAAACAAAAGAGAACATTTTAGAATTTGTAAGTTTATCACATAAATCATGTAAATAAAGCAGATTCTTTTAACTTGACTTTTTACTGGAAATGTTAACAAATCAATCGGCTGCCTGTCCTGACTCGGTAGAAATGCCTCCCGTCTACACGCGTCTACCAGGATCGCACACAGCAACTATTTAAAATCCTTCTCTAGGATGCAGCACTGGGCTCTGTAATTAGGGTGATTGCACCCAGCTTGCCAGAGGAGGCAGGACTGCGATCATTACACACCTGTTGTCTATCCCTATCAATTGGTGATTTGTATTTAAATTAGGGCTGTCAGTCGATTAAAATATGTAATCGCGATTAATCGCATGATTGTCCATAGTTAATCGCGATTAATCGCAAATTAATCGCACATTTTTTATCTGTTCTAAATGTACCTTAGAGGGATATTTTTCAAGTTTTTAATACTCTTATCAACATATGAGTGGACAACTATGCTTTATATGTTTGTTTATTATCATTTGAACAATGACAAATATTCTCATGAATATTAAACACAACAACCTGAACATTACAAATATTCACCTCAATTCAACCTGGAACCTCTCTCATGCAATAATACTGTGTGTGTGTGTGTGTGTGTGTGTGTGTGTGTGTGTGTGTGTGTGTGTGTGTGTGTGTGTGTGTGTGTGTGTGTGTGTGTGTGTGTGTGTGTGTGTGTGTGTGTGTGTGTGTGTGTGTGTGTGAATGTGGAGACACTGTGATGGATCGTTGGAGCTATGTGCCGCTCAAGGCATATATGCTCGAACGTGTGCTGCCTGGACGCTGCAATCATGTAGCGCGTACTATCCGGGCTGAGTGTGCTGACTTTTCGTGTTATTAACGCGTTAACTTGACAGCCCTAATTTAAATGAAACATATTTGTAGCTCTAATGATTTAATTTCTGATTAAAATCAAGCTATTTTATTATTGATATGCATCCATATATTATTTTTCTACTACTTGTAATCTGTTTTTTATTTTATATTTTTTAAAGCCTTAGGCTCTGTTTGACTTTACATGATCTATAATCTCACTATTATTTCACTCTTTGTTATATTAAAGCATTTGTCATAAACTTCTCAACGCATTCTACCATAAATTAAAATTCAAACCCACTGCCGCCCACAGAAAAGCCAATTTTACGGCCCAAGGAGAAGCCTGTTCCCAGAAACTGTGCCTGTACACCATCAACACCAACACCAACACCAGTGTTTCAGCACAGACCGAGTCAGACCGAGACAGACCGAGTTTAGCTTTCACAGGACCGGCAGAGGCTGAAACACTGAGCAGTTCTGCTTTGGCGAAGACTCCAGCTCCCTTTGCAGAGGACACCGCTCCGGTGCCGATATTGGGCCCTTTGACCTCAGCTCCAACATTGCCATCTTTAACTCGTACATGACCCAATCCTCAGATAGTGTCCCACCAGATTCATCCTCAAGTAGATGGCAGATATCTACATAGGCACCTCTTTCAAAATACTCCGTGGTCACAACTGCATGCAAAAAGAGACATGCATTTAATATTTTGTTTATTATACATGAAACACATATTCAAATAATTTCAGATGCTCTTTATGCTCTTAGTGTTACAACAGTTTTACAAATATGAACACGTTACTCCTGAAATGTCATTGTAACCAACAGCTTTTTGGAGTAAAAACTACATTTGACTGACAACTATTTCAATGACACAATGATTCGTTATTTACGTATGAAGGCAAGTTCATCTTTTAAACTCCACAAAGTCACAGGAAAACAAGTTATTTTATTTAAAAATCTCCAGATTGATAGATTTATTAATGTTATGTTTCCAATGAAATGCAATGTTCTTTGTTTGATTAAAGTCAGAAATCAACTAACTGTTCATCCTAAATATAGTATATTTCTTCGAGTGAAGAATGCACTTAAAGACGATGTTGCGTACCTGCCATCCTCACGGTTTATTATTCTCTCTGAAAAGAAAGAGGAAATGTTGGCTGCAGATTAGAGATAGGCTAGTGTTTCTTTGTGGGAACCACCTCAACAGGAAACATAATGTTAGCAATGGTAATAAAAAGATATGTTATATCATGTAAACATTATTATTATTCTGCACACAATAAACAGCAAAAGTATAAATGAGTGTCAGTGAGAAGTGAAGTGAAAGTATAAAGCTATTGTTTTTTAAAAGAGCTCAGAATGAAACTGAAAGTAGGTGGGGTCCCTACTTTGGGGGATTTCCGCCAATATCCTAGTAATGTTAAACGAAGACAGATGCAGTTAAAAACAACTTTTATTAATGCTTTTTACAACTGTAAAGTAGCAAGTGATTACATTGGGACTGTAGACCATGCCTTTTAAATAAAAGCTAAATTATATGTTTTCTCATCTTCAAAAAGGTGAATTTACGTGTTGGATGGTAAACTTTCCTCCACAGAGACACACAGATGGACAAAACATGTCATGTAAAACAAATTCAACTTTTTATATATTTAAAAAGAAAGCCACCCAAGATGGTCATGACTTTCAGAAAGTGAAGTATGACTAAACCCTTTCTGGCAATAATACAAAGCAATGATTTTGATGTATTGAATGTGTTTTTAAATGAATATTTCTTCATAATACTCTTTCAAATGTTAGAAATATGGAAAAGTGTAATTTTCGGAGTGTATTTTGGACATTTTAAGGCTCCGTACTTTAAAAAACGCCTGTACCTTCTTAAGACCCTGAGGATCAATAGTTTTCTGACTGCCCTCCGGTGTTCACACCTGTGGAGCACATTTAGATAAGATAAGATTTACTTTATTGATCCCAATTTAGGAATTTTCAGAAATAGGCCATTCTACATGATAAGTACTTTTAATCGAGGTTGCGGTCCAAATATCATACTTTTTCCTAACTTTTATTATACAGAGAAGCTGCACTTACAAAGTACGTACTGTTGCATGCAATATGAATGCCATTTTCAATATGGCCCCTTATTTTTACCCATTTTTTTTATATATGTGCTGCGTAAAGGATTGTGAGTAAGAATAGAGGGGAAAGCATTATGGGCTAGAATACTGCAAAATGCGACTGGATACATCCTGATAGTTTTGGTTCACTCATTGGACATACTTAATCTTTATTCTGGCATAATAAATGCAAGTATGGGTGTTGGGACGCAGGGTGAGGATAAGGTTAATACTAATGACTTTGTGGATGCAGGAATTTCCCTTGTAACAGACATTAGTCACTCAGGATCTGCGACTGAAATAGAAAGAGTTGCAGTGACTCACTTTTCTTCCATTTGTGGAGGAGAAACACGACACCACTTAACTTAACTTAACAAATAATGCCAATTAGTGTAGTGTTTTTTTCCCCCACAACATCTCAGCAATCGTGGCATTGCAGCAATTGAGGCATTCATTTAAATGTTTTATATATTCAAGTTTCCAAAAGGATGAATCCTCACTGACTTTCCTCTAGCGCCACCATGAGGTTCACATTTATGTTGTTTATTTTTTGTTATCATTTTATGGATGAAATGAACCCAATAGCACCACCACCAGGTCCAAAGTTATGGGTGAACGTTGCTGCATCGACAAAGAGCGATGGATAATAATCTGGGAAAATTCTTCTTAACCATAAGGGTTACACACACATTTAGAGACAATATCCTAAGCACGAGAAACTAGTCATATAAAAGACTTGAAATCATGACGTCTCTAAGTTCACAGATGCAACACACCTGTTTTTGAATATAAAGTATTAGTTTATTTCCAAACTTTATAACTTGCGTGATCAAATGCGTTTTGCTGCTCCAGAAAAAACTTGATTTGCTGGCAAAGGGGGCAAAATGCCTCGTTTGATCGTAAACACCATATATTTTGTTTACAACATTAGAGGTAGACATTTTTTATTAATGGATATTTTAAAACAGGGATTGATTTCATTCGTTTTTTTACAAGAAATATAAATATTCAAAACAGAATGAGACATTACTCTTAACATTTTGTTTACATGCGCAATATATCAGAATTTAGAAAGTGGAAGGGCTATGCATTGCATTGCTACTGAAATTACTGAGTTTGTTTAACGCTCAGCAGAGGGCGCTCACACAACGTCCAACTCTGTGTGTGTGTGTGTGTGTGTGTGTTCCAAAATTCAAGCTCCAAATGTATGAAGATTCATGCCAGACCTGTTTTTGTTCACAGTTGCTTGCATACAAATGAAACCAACAAATGTACTTATTTTTTTGATGCATTTAAACTGTATATATTTACACATGTGTGGTGGGTGATATTAATCTCAGGCTTGATTGAATTGTCAGGTGACGTCGGAGGAAGAGTTGCAGTCGGCCGTGTCTCTGGCCACAGAGAAGTTTGGGAAGCTGGACCTCGCGGTGAACTGTGCCGGCATCGCTGTCGCAGTGAAAACGTACAACTTCAACAAGAAGACCGCACACAACCTGAAGGACTTCCAGCGCGTGATCAATGTAAGATGTACGCAAGGAAGGGATGCATTCAACATAAGTAAAAAGAAAAGTTATATTTCTATTACCCTTTCAGTCGTGGAATGTAGGTAGGTAGATTTACTAAAGCACATTCAAGGTTTATGTAACGTTATACCTCTACTACACTACATGTAGTGGAGACATATTGTACATACTATATTCTACCCTTCTCTCCAGTGAAAAACCTTTATTTTACAGATTTGGTCATTTGAAAAATGTTGCTAAATTGAAGGACAAATGTTTCTGAAATCTCCTGTTGTTTATTTATTTAAATAAACTATAAAAATATAAAAAAATAATAATTTTAGGCTGGAAATTGATCACAGACAACGGGGCTGTTTTTCTATATGATGACCTTTTATAAGATAATAATCCATTACTGCCAGAATGCTCCTTTCCCTATCTTCAGGCTATCGTCAAAGAAAGCTGGATGGTTTGATTCTTTATCCACATTTGATAAATAAAAAAGCCACCACATTATTAAATAAAACGAATAAATACACCATGGTAAAAACATATAGTGCAGTTCTTTTTTTTATAAATGAGTGAACCTAATCAACTATTGAAAGAGCCGGAAACATTATCAAATTGTAAGAACTGAAGTGTATATTGCAGATAAGCAGTGGTATTACAGCAGAAATGTATTGTGGTCTGTATTGCGTGTGTTGGTCTTGTGGTTTTGAATGCAGGACTTTACTATTAGTGAGGCATCTCAAAGTGTTATAAATACTATCACTTGACTAAATATCTGAATACTTCCTCCTTCACTAGACTTCTCTTTGTGTTCCCTGCAGGTGAACATTGGAGGAACCTTTAATGTGATCCGTCTGGCGGTGGGGGAGATGGGGAAGAACGAGCCTGATGCCGATGGACACCGAGGCTGCATCATCAACACAGCCAGCGTGGCAGCCTTTGACGGACAGGTACTATCAAACACACGTAAAATAAATGACTTAGTGTTCGCTCCGATTCTCCTCTTTATTTTGCTCTCCCTCTTCTCTCCAGGTCGGCCAAGCAGCATATTCAGCTTCTAAAGGCGGCATCGTTGGAATGACCCTCCCCATCGCACGAGATCTGGCCCCCATGGGCATCAGAGTCATCACCATAGCACCTGGTTAGTGTAAAATGAAGGTTTGGTTAGAAGTCATGTATTGCTGCCGATTCAGTATCGTTAAAGAGACCCTATTATGCTTTAGGGATTTCCCTTTCCTGTAGTGTGTTATATGTTTCTGTGCATGTAAATGGTCTGCAAAGACTAACATCCTAAAGTTCCCTCCAGAGGGAGTTTCTCTCCCACACACCTAATCAAATCTAATCAATAGATTTATGATCGATAGATTTATGATTAGAAAATTATAAAAGTAGTAGCCTATGGAGAAGTCCCATTGCTTTTTTGTCGAGGGAACCCATGCGCAGCTTACTTCCGGGTCGGCCTACACAAATACGTCATCACTGCACCACTCTATTGGCTCGCGCTTCAATACATTGTTCTTGATAGGATAAGGGGCGGGACATCTTTTAAGCAGCTAACTAATCAGAGCAGACTTGGCTCTGGTTTCAGACAGAGGGTGAAAAGAGGTAGTATGAGAAACATTTCTCATACTACCTTTTTGAACATGTATACTTATGTTTTAATGTTCAAAAAGGTCTTAATTTGATCTAATCACAAAGATCACTGATTTTAAACTGACATTTTCTTGGATTATAAAACATGTTCTCTCTTTTTTTTCTTCCAGGTCTGTTTTCCACGCCCCTCTTGGCCGGTCTTCCAGAGAAGGTGCGCTCCTTCCTCGCACGCCAGGTGCCCTTCCCCCCCTGCCTGGGAGACCCCGCTGAGTTTGCCCACCTGGTGACGTCCCTGGCGGAGAACCCAATGATCAACGGCGAGGTGATCATGCTGGACGGAGCCATCCGCATGCAGCCCTGAGATCAGGAGAACATTATTACGTCCGAGTGTCATTGTGTGTTTCTGCCTCGTGCAATTCTGTTGTAGAAAGCTTTCTATAGGACATATAAACTGAATGAACTAATTTGTATCATCTTTGCGTGTAAGAATGTGTATAATAAATGTCTGTACATCATTCAGCTCAATGCAGTACTTTATGAACTTTGGTTGTTTTGTAAACTAATCGAGATAATAAAAAAACCTCAGATGGGTTTGATCTAATGCAAAGTTTCTGTTCTTAATCCTCAAAGATGACATGTTATATTCGCCTACAACGTCTTGTAAATCATACTGATATCACACATTTGCTTAAAATGTAATTTTAGGAGCATTTAATTCAATCCGGGGAAGAATGTATGAGAGTTGCTTATTTAGCGTTTTCCATCTTATACTTA